TGAGCACTCCCCTTTGAGAGGGTGGCCATTGGCTCCAGCGGCGAGATAGCAATTACATTTCCTGCAGTACCGTGTGTAGACGTGTCTGTCGGGTGTTCAAGGTTGTTCGAATTTCCTTTGAGTATGACTCTCCTAGAAACCCGAATGCTCTCCAGTTTACCTAATACATGTAATTCACAAGCACCAAAATGGCTGGAAGTTGGAAAGGGTAGTCTGGCCTAAGTAGTTTGGTTTAATTACCCGTGGCACATGGACATATCTGACCTTGCTCATTAAGACTTCTGCAGTATCCCAGTTGTAGTCCCTAACACAGTCTATTGCATTGGCATTGTAAGTGGCAAAACCCCCTTCTATTCACTTCATAACTTTTACCCCTTCAAAAGCATACAGGGTGATGTGTTACTGGAACTTGGAGAATATGGTGGTAGTGAGTCTGATGTAAATGTGTACCTTGGTAGATTTAATTGAAATACTGTATCTTTAGTGTCCACTGAGTTGTGGAAGATGTAATTCAACTCTAATCTATTATTCAGACCAGCAGGAGGTGGATGGGCTAATGAAGCACCGTGTTCATCAGGGAAGGGCACGCAGGAGGCCTTTCAGGGCACAGTAACCCCCCTGTTCAGCATGGGGTTAATTCAGTGGCCAGACCAGAGAGACATGGTGGGAAGGACTCTCAGGCTCTCTTCACAGTACAGGAGGTGCCCTTGTTGCCCTCACAGCATTAGTTCTGGATGGAAGAGTTTTGAGGAGGTTTTAAGTATATCTGCAGATTAAGTCAACAGGCTTGAGTGACAGTGTTTCCACACACTTTCTCAAGAGGGCACATTCGCAAAGTCAAGGTAGAGAGTTAAAGCAACTACTTTACAAACAGCACCGAGCATCCTACGCGTGGAAGACATGACCGCTGTCTTCTTGGTGGCCCGAGACCCATCAGTCAGTCATGCCAAAAGCCCCAGCCTGCATTTGCTTCGGGGAGACTCCATGCTCCCCTTGCCATACAGCAAGGAACGGACCCACGTGAGTGTTAACCCCGTCAAGCGCTTCAGCAGCAGCTCCTGCCCTTTAATTTTCAGAAATGGGAGAATTCTGTACTGCTTGCTTAGTTATGGCTTCGTTATTGAGTGCTGTGGGGTAAATTACACACAACATGTGATATAATGCTCCTTTAGGTCCTGGGAAAACTAAGGAAACTAAAACTTCATTTTACTTTGAATAAATCAGTTTATTTTCTCTGGAGGCAAAAGCTGGCATATAGATTATTTACACACCACAGTTATCCCAGTAAGCAGAGAATGGGAGAGATGTTATTTTTAGCATCCAAGAAGCTATTTTATCCCTTCCCCTAAACCAGCCAAGTTCTCCATAAAATGGTTGCTTTTCCTCTGCGTTTAATCGCTGTAACTGACGTACATGCACAAAAAAACCCCACCTGCTACACCCAAGAAGAAAGCTTCAGACACAAAACTGAGGTTGCTATTTAAACTAAGAATTCAGGGCCACACTCTGCTTTCTCTTGCATGCGGGTGATCTTGACTCCTGTAAGATCAAGTAGCAAGTTGGAGTGCAAGAGGATTTGGACCTATAGCTTGCAGTATAACGAAACTGCTGGTTTAAAACAAAGACTAGCCCAAATTAATTCAGAGTTAGAAAGATAGACAACCCGCCCCCTTGCTACCCTATTGAAGAAGCAAACAAAGGAGTTGAGTGTGCCAAGGACCAATGTAAATCTGGCCTTTGTTTAGCATCTCGAGTTTTGCATCCAGTGTAACAGCTTAGGGTGAGTAACTGTGGCTCTGCTGAAATTCAGTAGCTGACATCACTCGGAAACTGCCTCCGGCCAAGAACCTATTGTAAATGAGCTGCCAAACTTCACTAGGATATCCTGTGAAAATGCCTTAAACAAACAAGCAGCTAAAGCCTGGCTTAAACAAGGCAGCCATTCCTCAAAGGAATCTCATGCGATGCTACTTGAAAACACAACCTAAATGCTAGCTCACTCCTCTGAAGCAGTCACTGCATTTTGCACGGCATTCATCTTTGCAGGTGGTTTGTTTTGTTGTCCGTCCGTCGGTCCCCCCTCCTTCTGCCTCATGATTTCTGCTGATACTGCAGTGCCTTTTTAGAAGAGATTTCTCATGTTTTTTCATATACGACGTTCCACAGAAACAAAGATGCAGACTGCTTTACCTTCGGGGGGAGCAGAGGAGATTGAAAGGTGGGGAATCAATTCATCTGTTGGAAGAGCTGTCTTTGGGCAACTGCTCAGTGAAAAAAAGCTCTACAGGTTTCCCTTGTTAACAGCAGACAGCTGTATAAAGATCTAATAAAAAAACCCAGAAAGTCTTTTTTTTTTGGCCCTAGTAGGATTTTATAGAAAGGTAAATAATTTACTTAGCTGAAAGCACCTTTTTTGCAATGAGGAGAGGGATTTGAAGGATACATTCACAGGCATGTATATTACTTAATATCCCTCCATACCTCACCGGCAGCCAGCCTGTCGTTGTAGGGGTAGGAAAGCAAGCAGCACAACCCATTTTGGCATGAGTGTGCACAGCCACTTCTCTGCAAACAGTGTCGGCAGCATCTTCCACCCACCTGCACAAACCAAGCACATTACCTCCAGCCTTTATGGCACCCTCTGCCCTCTGAATAGCATGGACCTACAGAAGTGGCACAGTTGCATAAAAATCAGTGAGAAATGACCATCACATGAAGACAGAACAGCTAACAAGACAGGGTCCCTCCTGTCCACAAGAACGTCATTGTCATCATGTGGCACATTTCACCCAAAAGGACCCAAGCCAGCTTACAGGGGGGTTTTTGTTTGGTTTTTCTGGTTTTTTTTAAACTGCATGTGTACATCATCTTACACAGATGTAACTCTCACCACGCTTGGCTGCCACTAAAATAAGCAGTACACTGTTTTGAAAAAATACAGGGCCAGACTATCTTGTGTATCTACAGCAGTCAGTCATTTCTCTTCCACTATTAGCAGAACCACACTTAAGGTTGAAATTGGTTAGCCGATAACAATAACAAAAATTAAAAGACAATTTAAACTGAGATACAAGCATGTTGGCAGATGGCTCACACTCACCTTGTTGCATCTGTGCAATCTTGAATATGATGCGTTCAAGCAATAAAGCATTACAGGGTAGAACATACGACCCCATCAGTGTTTGCACACAGCTTAGCTACCTGAAAGTCTTCACCATCCATCTAGTTACATTAATTGTCAGTATAACAACTGGCAGCGTGGTAGTACCCCCAAACTCATTCTCATTGTAAGTGGCTGACAGTAATTCTAGTTCTTGGGAAAGACAGAGGCAGGATGTCTGCTTTTTTGTGTTATAAAAAAAGGAGTGAGAGGTAGGGAACAGCAGAAAGTAGAGCGCAGGCTGGTGTTTGTTTTTTTTTTCTCTGCTGTAGCAACATGGGGAACATGGTAGGTCTTGTCTTTGCCCGCCACTTTTTGCTCATTTTTATCCCACCCCGTTAGGCTGCAGTTAGGCTGCTTGTGAGCTTTTTGTTCCACTTGAAGGCATTTCCTCCCAAGCCCAACTGATTCCTTGGAGGATCAGAGTGACTAAACACAGTGCATCTCTCTTCTCTCCCCAGGTATCCTTTAGGTATCACTGTAGATTATACAACGAATGGCGTCGGACCAATCAGAGGGTGATACTCCTAATCCCAAAGTCTGCCAATGTCCCCTCCAACCAGCAGTCCCTGCTGGGCCTGCAGTCCCTCAAAAGGAACTCAAAGGAGACAATTGTTTGATTGGGGCAGTTCTGCACAGGGGCCATGCACTAAAAATGTTTTCCTCAAACTCACTGGGGTCAGGCACCATCCAGAACCCAGGAGTGTGCTACTCTGGTTTATAAACTCTTCGCAGAGGAATAAATCACTGTTTGAATTCAAATCATGGATGCTGCAATCATATGATATTTGCTAAGCTGCCAAACTTGTTTATTTAGCAGATACTGTATAGAATTCTACAAACTCATGTTAATACTTGCATCATCAAGTGATGCAAACTTTTTTATTGTTTAAAATATTAAACTATGATAATTAACAATGCAAAACAGGTTTAACAAGTGCTTTGTTTTTATCGTTTCCTGTTCCTGCAGTATTATTTCTTTAGGTAGCTGGACAATGCTGTTTTTTCTTTCCTAAAGCACAGCAATGGCATTCTCCTAGTTCAATTTATTTGAATGTCTTTTATACCAATATTTTGGATTATTAAAATTTGTGTGTACTGAGCTCTACAAATTGGCATATTATATAAATGCTATAAAGTGATTAGAAAATTATCTTCTCTATTTCCTATTTGGCAAGGAAGTTCTGACAGGAACATTCTTCGGTAGTAAATTTAGCGAAAGAGAAGAAATGACACCAATTGCAAGTCTTCCTACTCGAAAGTATTCTAGTTTATACCACTCAAGAAAAAAATGAGAGCTTATTTGATGTAGCATGTGCTCTATGGGAGAAAAAGCTTAGTACACAAAACCAAATCTGTTTGTTTCTTTATTCTGTCTTTGGACCAGTCTAGCTGTAGTCATGTTATTTAACAATATTCTTTGTAACTGTCAATTTCATGGGGATATAAGAATCAACTACCTAGGGGATATAAGAATCAACTACCTATATAAAGCAATAACAGCCTCATTCAGACATTAATCTAGTTTCACAGCAAGCCAAGATGTGTAAGAAAATCATGAACCTGCAGATTTATACTCATTAGTCTGCCAGTAAGGTCAGGGGTTGGTCATATGTTTGGCAGTGGATGCCTGCTTCTCTTCCAGAGGAAGCTATACAAGATTCTGAAGACATGGACATCGCAGACTCTGTGATAGCCTAAAACCCAGAGTCCTTTTTTTTTTTTTTTTTTAAAACCCTCTTCTCAAAGGCAACTACCTACCTGGATAGAAGACTGAACATACAAGCAAGCAGAGAGTTCCAGGTTAAAAGAAAACCTGCTAGCCAGGGGCACAGAAATAAAGCAAGTCTAGCTGGGTCAGGACACTGCCAATGTTTTAATGCCTAGACATTCGCTTCAGGTAAGCTTTCTTCAGAATTCTGTTACTACTTTTGCTTCTTGGGGAGAGACCACAGAAAGCTGGCCCATGGAAGAAGTGTTATTCTTAAGTACTAGTCTTTGTTTTGTTTCATGAAACAGAAAATGAGGATGATATGGAATTAAGTAGCAACTAGGAAAACAATTACTCAAATAAACTGTAAGGCGTATGCACACAGATCAGCATAGTGACTTGGCCCAGATCATCTGTGTTATTTCAAGTTTTTTGTTGAAAGACAGTTTATTTAATCTGAAAAAGGCATATTGAAGCAGCCAAAGAGGAAGTATGGTCCAGTTTAGCAAATACATTACTACTGTAGTTTCTCTGCTCGATGCATGAGTACAGCGAAAATGACTGGTGACATCACTAGCAACAGCCTCCTATGCATTTCCTTGAGAAAAAAAATTGCCGGAAAAGATCCAGTCACACACTTGCCCTTTTGCACTAAGCCCATGGAAAAAAACCATACTTTATATTCTTCCTTGGTTTTCCTAAAATATAAGAACAGAGAGGTGGGTGATAGTAATTCTTATGCCCACTTCTCTTCTGAACTAAAGACTTGCAGACAGAATGCTCCTCTGACAAGTATTGCTTTTTCATCCACTAGTTGAGGCTGTTGGCACACCAGGTCCAAATCTTGATTACCAATTTTAAAACTGGATCATTAGGTCAAATATTCTACAACAGCAACAATACTCATTTTCATCTGAATGGATGTGAAAGACAATTAGCTGCAGCAGTAGCTACAGCTAGGCAAAGCTCCTGGTAGTACAATGACACCTTTGTTACGCTATCCTTAAAGAGTTCCCAGTTAAGCAAAAATAAAAGTTAACTAATGAAAAGATCGGAGAGGTCTTTTTTTTTTTTTTTAAATAGTGTGACTCAATTTCCTCCTCAGCAACATTACACTTCTCATGCAGCTGGCCTTGCCATTTACATTCCTTTTCCATGTAAGCAGCTGTATAGAAGGAGCATTATTCAAATCAGTATTTTGAGCTGCAAGCGATAAAAGCAGCAGCAGAAGCTTAAGCCACCCAAGAAAACCTTCGAAGAAGCTGCAGATGTAATACAGTTTTGTTCCTTCCTCTCACATCCTGCTTGCTGGTGACAGATCCTAAGTGTACAGAGTTAAACCCACACAGAGTCCACTGCGGTTCGGTATTGATGATGAGCAAAATGCTGAGTGGGGAAGTTCTACTTCTGCGTAGCCTTTTCTCTGCAAGACTAGCCTATCACTACATAAAACAAGCAAGACAAAATTAAGGTAAGGTTAAGTGAAAAGGTGTGAGGTTCAACAGCAGGAAGCCGGGCAACTCCTTGCTCCGTGTTGTAGTGAGGACAGAGCAGAGGAAGCAGCAGTATAAACCAGTGAGGAAGAATAAGGGAGAAGCATGTTCCATGGGTAGAAGAAACTGATACAGAAGGACATAACCGAAGACTCAGAAATACCATAGCCTTCTTTCTGTTTAACTGGAAGTAAGTCATGGCATAAGTAGGATTAAAGATACTTCGGGGTTTTGATCTGTTGGTTGGTTTATTTTTTTCCTTTACTTATATAATATATTTACTTATATATATATATATAAATACAGTATATTTACTTATATTGTATAGTTCTGCCAGACTGAGACTTCAAACTGTCATGTACATTAAATTTATTAAAAAAGAGCCTTACATCAGTTTTACAGTAGGAAGTCACACCGGGCAATGTGACAGCTCTGTACTTAAAGGGAATCGGGGTCAATATTATGCAACTGGTCTTTGATGCAAGGGATACCATCAGAAAGAGGTATGAAAAGCTACTGGGAGAACCATTTATGCACTAAAAGAGAGCTAAAAGTGCTCTCCCTTTCAAATGAAGGTAAGTTTAAAAAAAATAACTGTTAATAATAATTAAGCTCGTCATCTGTTGTTGCTTATGAGACCAAGCTCCATTTAACACACAGCTGGTTAATTAAACAAGCATTTTCCTTGCAAGCAGAAGTGAGTATTGCCTGTTTACTGCCAAATAGTGGTTTTGGGTATTCAAAAGTGTCTTTAAAAACTATTAGACAATGCAAAATGTGCAACAGAGGCCCCTAGCTTTATAGGTACCTAGCAGGCCCATAAAACAAGCAAGCCTGGAGTATGGGTGTATAGGATGTAACATGACTGATGATGATACCACACTGCATACTAATACACTGCTGTTAATCTTCATTTTGAATTTTATTTCCACATAAGAAAGTTTTTTCAGAAAACTCAAGAGTTACATCTCTCAGCAGCTGCCAAGTTTGTTAATACTTGTGATTGCTTTCAGTTCTTTACGGTTCTTTACTGACAGCCTCTTACACCTCATTGTGGCAATGCTACGAAGTATTTTTTCCTCCCTTTGATGTTGAGAAGTTACTGAACTGATTGTGATTTTTCTTCAACTCTATTCTAAGTGTACAAAATACTTTCCCAATAAAACCTGTTAAAATACAGAGCCAATGTTGACATTCTATCTATCTACAACATCCCGTTACAAACACCGGGACACACCACCTTCAGAAGCAAAATGCTGCAGCTGCAGAGAAAACCAAGACTACAGTTTCATTCCATGACTTCTATTATGGAGAAGGTCAGACTTGCTTGCCAATAATCTTTCCTGTTCATAAAATGCAACCAGCAAACCAGCTGTGGAAATTCATATCCAGGAGTGAATTGAGAACTGTAGGAAAATCCTACTAATCAATCAGCATAAGCTGAAGAGTGCCTTTACAGATGCCACCAAATGTAACTTTCCTTTCTTCAAGGTTACTCACACAGAGAACAAGTCCTGTATTTATGCAGACCCATAAAAGGAAACCAGAGGAGAGCAGCAAAGGACTCCAAGCAGTGAATGCACACTAAGCAAAACCTGAGATAAAATAGCTAACTTTTGCCATAATCCTATGATGGATTTACTTGAATATCAGAAATAATTAAGTGTCCCAGTGTTTCCTTGAGGTTAACCATAATATACCAGGAAAGGCTAAATAAACATTCACATCCATCATATGTAGCCTCCATTCCCTTTATAAAAATCACCAGTTAGTACTAGTTGTCGTATTTGGGACATAAGCTTTAAAAGCTTTTATTGCCCATCAACTACTTGCCGCCTTTGCCTGGAGAAAAATAGTTCATAGTCAATTGCTATGTAGTCATTTATGCAAAAGCAGCAGTCTTTCCCCCCCACCCCCCCACTGGCTTCCAGTGCAGTATGAATGAATATAAAAGGCACTGTGTTGCAGATACACTGATAAGGCAGTTAAATTTCTCCATTAAAACTTAAGACGAGCATTTAAAGTTGCTTCTTTTACAGAAGCAGACAAATGAATAATTAGCAACTATTGAACAGAAAATGTATTTACATTACTTACATATTCATGTATCTTTCTGTATTTTGCCCTCTGCTTGGGCAAATATTATGTAGGTATAGGCAGCAGGGGTAAAAAAACACATCAGTCAGAGGCATAAGACAGTTCATAGCATAGAACTATAATTGACTACACTATGTAAAATAATTTGTACCACAGGGCCACAATTGATTTATTAATGAATTTGTCCACTGTAAACAAAGAATGCAGTTTACAGGTTTGCTGCTTTTGCTGTGAACAGACCCAAAAATCAAACTTTTGTAGAAACAGGGCCAGCTGAGAGGAATGGGTACCTTGCTTCAGGAGTGTTCATCACACAATACTAGTGCTGTACCGTTCAAGCACTTGTTCCCTGAACAGATTCTTACTCTGGTTTTCACAGGAACTAAAGTATTTGAGAAGATAAATTTCTGGTACAGTGTTTTTCTAGTTGCAAGCAGTTAAGTTACTAAACAGGTTTCACCTTGCCAGATTGATACAATTTGTACCTCTTGTCAACTGTAACAGAGCAGTACCAGGTAATGACAATCCCCATCTGTTGCCAACTCTAGAAAGGACTGAATGTACCTATAAATAACCTTTGCATGTTACTGTAACGGTAGTAATAATAAGACCTACTAAAATTTTAATCACCAGTTGAACACATCCACAGAGCTAGGATGTTGTTTGCTTCTTCTCTGGCTCATTACTGAACAACCTCCAGCAAACATGAACACAATTCACTGCATGTAGCCAATTAGCTCATTTTTCAGTGGTCAGATACCCTTACCAAATCCACCCGTGTGCCTTCTCGCACCCAGAGTGGTGTAGATTATGGCAGTAACCACAACAGCCAAGGTGGTGTGTTCTGAACGCAGTTCCAAACTGACAGGAAAAAAAGTGCTTGTCACAGACATTGTGCGACAAGGAGAAAAAACAAACCTACTATTCCCATAAATATCTGGCATTTGCTGCACACAGTGGCACAATGCATTCCCTTCCATGAGGCTGGTGCTTTTCACTACAGCACTGAAAGGTTCACCCTCCCTTGCAGTAATCAAAACGCACTTCTGGACTTCAGCGTAGGAAGATGGGTAAGAGGCAGGAAAACAGAAGCTGTTCAGTTCAATAAAGCAGAAACTTTCAAAAGTTATTATGGAACTCGCGGGGAAGTGCAGGAAGTTTTGGGTTGGATTGGTGGGGTGGGTTTTTGGAGGTTTTTATTTGTTTGGTTTTAGTATTTCCATAGTAAGATCTCCACCTGGTGGTAGGATGTTTCACTCTAAAGATTAGGGTGAACACACGTGCGCACACACTCCCCAGAAGGGTCATTTGTGTTTCCCAACACTCTTCATGTCAGTTTCCAGAAAAGAGCAAAATTATTTTTCCAGAATAAGCATTTTTCCCATTGTTATCCATCACAAGAGTGCTATTTACCAGAATATTAACAAGACTCATGTAAAAGCTCTCTTTGTAGAGAAAATGGGTTTCAAGTATGTTTCATGATGGCATGACTGGCTCAGTAGATGAGGGGAGAGCAGTGGATGTGGTCTACCTTGACTTCAGCAAGGCTTTTGACACTGTCTCCCATAACATCCTCATAGGGAAGCTCAAGAAGTGTAGGCTGGATGAGTGGACAGTGAGGTGGATTGAGAACTGGCTGAATGGCAGGGCTCAGAGGGTTCTGATCAGCAGGGCAGAGTCCAGTTGGAGGCCGGTAGCTAGTGGAGTTCCCCAGGGCTCAGTACTCAGCCCAGTCTTGTTCAACTTGTTCATCAATGACCTGGACAAGGGGACAGAGTGTACCCTCAGCAAGTTCGCTGGTGACACTAAACTGGGAGGAGTGGCTGATACGCCGGAAGGCTGCGCTGCCATTCAGCGGGACCTGCACAGGCTGGGGGGGTGGGGGGGGCGGGGACTC